ACCACACACTCTCCCTGTCTGGGTCGCTCATGTACATACACACACCCCGCTTCAACTCACACATCACATGTTTGTGACATTACATAACTGCACTTCAGCTGTGGATAAATCGACCACCTGTGGCACTATGGGACTTTTTTACATTTCAAAAAACGAAAGGAAAAGTGGCAACCGAGAGAAACCTTGTCGTTTGGACAGCTGTTCAGACAGTTTAGAAACTATGCTAAACAGATGCAAGAAAAACTGGAAGGGGTTACTCAATTCACAATCAAAAATTTGATAATAAAGTGGCAGTAAACTTTCAACTGGTTCCCATGAACCATTACTGCAGTTAAATATTTAAATAAACAACGAATAAATTAACAATTTAATGAATTTAAGTAACAAAAAACAATCCAGGAAAAATAAGAATAAGCCAATATGTGACAAAGAATTTGGAAGCCTTAACCAGTGACAGTAAATCAACTGAGCTATTCAAAACATTTGTCAAAATTTCAGGTTGGATAATGCTGTTGCATGATACATAATTGCAGTGTTCGCCCTATCAACCCATTACATTGAACATAATGCTATCCAAGCAAATGGTAATAGTCAGTGTGGAAACCTAGGCCAAGAACATTCTTTCCACCTCCAACAGTATCTCAGTGAGAGGCTTGGCTGCCGTGGACTGCTGCCAAGTTTGCTTGTGTGCTCACGTGTATTTGCTTAAGACAGAAGAGACATAAATAATTTTGCTAATTGCAGAGTGAAGTTGACTGACAGTGAGTTAGGTATGGTGTGGCATTCCAACACGGGAGTGATGTTATAAAATAATCACAGGCAAAGCAGCTATCAATCATTCAGCCAAGGTGTGAGGGAACAGCACGATGACACGTTAATTATACACTCACACAACGGGTTTCTCCCTGCCGACCCAACAAACATGCCACAACCAAAAAAACCTCCAGAGGGCTTTTGAGGGAGTTGTATGTCTGTGTGTGTGTGAGTGTGTGTGTGTGTGTGTGTGTGTGTGTTGTGCATGTGTGTGTAGATAAACCAAACTTTCACACGACAAATGAAGGTAAAAACAATATGTTTTTCAATTTTTGAGTGAATAAAATAGTCACCATGCTGGAAAACAAAAGAAAACTTGACAAGCTTGATTAGAGTGTACACTGTTCATGTTTACTGTGTATACAATGCATGTGAGGACTGTTTGAGAGCACCACCATCTAACAGCAAGTTCGTTTTACTAGGATCCTTATTATTGTACTATGAACATTTTCAGCCACTAGGTGGTGTCTGTGCTCAACTCAAATGAACAGTGTCTATCTGAGCAGTCTGAGTCATCCTCACAAGTCAGCTCTATTGCTCAGTGTCTCTCTCTGTCTCTCTCTCTCTCTGACACAGGTAACGCCTATAGATGTGAAAGGTAAGAGGGGGGAAATGCTCTCTCCCTGAGTCATCTACCACAAAGGTTTTGCCTCTCGGAGGCAAAAAAGACAAACATTACAGACAAGCATTTTCATCAATGTTGAGCATTGGTGCTGAGTGAGAAAGTCAAATCTAATCACTCATTTATAATAATACAGCAACCTGTTTATTTTTACATTATCGCTCCCAAACACCCAAGGCAAAACAGAAGATGGATCAGCATTTGTATGGTGGTATCAGCTCATTTCCTGTTATGATTAAAGTGGGTGATTATTATTTATAAAAGCACAAATAAATACTGATCTGTTTATACATGCCCTTCTGATTTAAAGGGAGAAATGATCACAAGTAAAATGAGTTTATCCTATATAATAAATACACTCACATTGTCAATATTGTCACAGAATTAAATAAGATCTAACATCTCTCTAGAAAGACAGACATTTACGTTAAAAGGATTAAGGAAGTGTAGTCTGCTTGGTCCCTGACATGGAGCACTAACCATCAAACAGGTTTCATTAGCGTGGATTACAACAATTAAATTTTCCAATTGACTTTTTCCAAATAAACCCAGCATCTTTATTCTTTTTTAATTGAGCTGGTGGATTTGAAGTCAGTTCTTAAACAACGATAAAATGTTTGTCTTTTGACTTTACGAGACATTAAGTTTCCTAGTTCACATTTCCTGTTAATTACGTGTGAGATTTGATGGCCTTGATAAAAGAGCGTAGCTGAGGGGGAGGTTGGTTAGCAGGAAGTAGAGAAAAGACTGATGGAAAGTCAGAGGGAAACGAACAAGTGAAGTGGGGGGAAAAGAGGTCCTAATAAGAATCAGAGTGGTTCATAAAGAGCACCAAATGTTTGCCCCCCAGCGAGACCTACTGTAACCAGCCCACCATGTACACTCTTCCTCTTTCTGCAAGCAGAGCAACCACACCAAAGCTTGCGGTGAGGTTTTAGGCATGTAGTGAAGAGCTGAGGCATTAGTGTCAAGGCGGATGTATGTGTTAAATGTGCCAAGCTCAAACCTATGGCCAATTAATAAAACCCTAACACATAATCCATTTCAAAAACACTTGTGTAATGGGCTGGGAATAGCTCCAATCTCTGAGTATCTCTTTGTAATTTAAGTGATTCAGATTAAGGTCCTGAATTGATTATGCTTGGCTATGTCTTTGAAGGATGATCTGATTCATAGCAGCTGTAGTGTGCGTGAGCGTGTGTTTGTGTGTGTGTGTGTCTGTGATGTACCTTAAAGATGCCCACCCAGTCTTTGGGGTGGGGTGTAATGTAAGGGGTCAGGGTGTAGCGACACTCCAGGGGCGCCTGAGGCAGGAAACTCTTCCCCACATTCTGGAAGATGACGTGGGCAAAGTTGGACGTTTCCATGACGCTGACGCTGCTGCCCGGCGACGAGTCCACCACCTGGAACGACGACATTGTATCCTATTGGTCACTTCATTTGTCTGTAAGGGAAGAGCAGCAAAGAGGAAAAGAGACACTGAGTATAAAAAATCAGTGAAGGAAATATATAACTCTTCCGCTGAGTCATGCACACAAAGCCAAAATTTAATTTGTCTGAAAGCAAGCTCTTTCATTCAAGTTCCTAAACCAGCTCAGAAAATATGTATGAGTGAAGTCAATAACAAAGCAGAGGTGTAGTGATGTGTATAAAAAGATATATGGCATGGGGATTTACAGTACTCTAGATCTACCTAAAGTTGCCAAGGACACATATCACTGTTCATTTTGCAGAGCAAAGCTGCAGCCACTTATACTGAATAATCTCTCTTGTAATTTGTGACATTTACTAAGCACAGAAGACTTTTGTTGCCTGACTTCAGTCTTCCTTTAAGGCAGTGCCTTAAAGCAGCAACAAGTGTGGGGACAAGCACTGTCCTTCTCTGGGACCAAAAATCCCTTCTCTGCCTTCTTTCTATAACCCACAAGGTTTCTGGAGGAGGACAAAATGGATGAGTGGATTACTAGTATTGAATGCTGGACATTTAGTAATAGGGGTATTTTTATAGTGTGGTAATGCACTTTTACTTAAGGGGGAACTCCATGAGTTTTCTAGTCAAAATCAATTTACTAGTCATGGTGAGCCTGTGAAAACAGTTGTGTGCTTTGTCCTCAGTGATGGTGATGTCATAGAGAGTAAAGGACGTGGGTTTTAACCAGGAAGTGACAGCCTAAGGAGTGATGCTTTTAAGTTGCATTAAATTAACTATAGCATTAAGTATTTCCGGAGCATGATATATACAAGGGACTTTAAGTCAGGATATCTCTGTGGCATCAATTATAACAATCTTTTTTTTTAAATTTGTCTCTTGCAAGTCACCAAACTAACTAAATACAGTGCTATCTGAATCAGTTGAGGACAGTTGCACCTTTTAACCAAGAAAACAACACACCACTGTAACTGAGGACCAACAGGACAGCTGACTGTAAACTGCTCAAACTACGCCTTTGTTTTGGTGGTGGGGAGAAGCGGAGGAAAAAAGGCAAGTACTAAATATGTGTAGCTACTTGCAAGTGATGCAGCTGCTTTGCATCCCTGGCCTCTGTTCACCATTCCCTTAATGAGAACGAGGCTAAAACAACAAACGATCCTGCCCTACATTTCCATGTGACCCAACCCTGGACTCCTGACTAAGATACACGCATGTGAAAGTCATAACTGGGGCTCGATTCAGCTTACCAGCTCACACATCATTGTCTGTACACTGAGCCACACCGACCAACGCTTCACATAAATGTACGACAAAAGCCTTACGGGACAGCTCTGTCATGTAAAACTGGCTCAGTTAGCCAGAGGATAATCTTATTTACGGTGGCTAGGCAGCTAACATTAGCTTGCGAACAGGCCATGTCGTGTCAAGTCACTAGCTAGCTAAACACTATCCTAGAGAAACAAGAGACGGAATTACAGGCGTTGATTTCAATTGAAATTGAAAGAGTACCCTTTTCATATGAATTCCACTTGCAAAAAGAGAGAATTGTTGCCGGACAGTCCGATGTTTTTGCCACTGTCCCCGTTGTTGTCAAAGCTCTGACGATGATGCGTCTCCTCCTGAAAGAGCAGATGATGCTGAACTTCCGGGATGCTGAGCAGCGCCGAGGATGCTGAGGATGCTCACGAGAAGAAGGCAGATGTGGTCTCTAAGGCCGAAAAAGGCTCCATTTATTATTTGCTAGAAATTATTCAAATCAAATCTTTCCATTTGTTCCTGATATTTTCCTCCTTGTGGCTTAAAACAATTCCATAAGTGTATAAATAGTTGTAGTGTAGAAGTCATCTGCAGTTTCCAACACTGCAAAGCAAACAATACATTGTAAAGTTAATTATTTGATAATTCTATTAATTTTGCGTTTATACGGCGGTATGGAGTGAATACTGTACAAACAGTAGCGGCTAAAGGGCATTAACAAGTAAAAGCACAGGATGTCCCGCCTTTGCTTCATTACCATTGGCTGTCGGAACCGACCGAGAGATGCGATTGGTGAAAATCATAGTCAATCATAGCAGTTCGGTTTGGCTTTCCTGGCTTGACAGCTGTCACTGTACGCCGAGGTCAAGGGGAAAGAAGCATGGCTGCGTTGTTTAGAGGGTCACGAAATTTATTGTTAAGGTGGAATAAGCATGTCAACCTTACCTCTGGTAACGTATTCGCTTATGTTGTCAGTTTCCTCGTGCCTTTTTTTCCGTTTTACGAATGTGTGTTGAGGGGGGAATGCAAGCGGAACATGTTCTGCTAAAGCCTGTTAGCTAGCTTGTTAGCCCTCTGAGGAAAGTATGAGTACTTGCTGCCCATGTCAGTTAAGTGTTTCAGTCTGGACACAATGTCCCTGAGTTGGTCACCTGCTGTGTGGTGCTCAGTCATGCAGTACGTTAGGACATTGTTCGTAACGGACATGAGCATAGTGAAATGTGATGCTATGGCCAGCAACAGCTAATTTAACTGACATGATCTCTGTATAGACCTCTATGTAGCTATGCGTTAGGTCTGTTTAGGGTTTCACACTATATTAGTTTGCTTTAAGCGATGCCAATCACTATAATGTAGTTTGCTCTACGCTGCACAAAATCACGGATTAAGCTTGGACTGCAACACTGTCACAAACCCTACTCAATCCACTCCTCCCTGCCCATCCCACAGTGCAAGACACAACTATGTTTCTGGATCAGGAACAGTGAATATTGATTTTAGTGAAATTCAGGGTCCACTGTCAGGATGGCCCCTGCTTCCCTACATGTAACCATCTGCATGTAACCCTCTGGTGTTGAAATAGTGGTGTCCGTAACTCTGTTATGAACCCTGTATGTTATAGTTTATCATTTCAGTGAAGGTCCTTCCTCTAAAGTCTCCACAACTTGAAGCCACATTACAATGCTTTCCCACTCTCACCCAGTAGTGTGTTTGCTAAACAGTCGTGGTCTTATCCCATTCCTGTACAGCCACTTTCTAAGTCCACTTGGCATAAGTAATGCCAACAATTGCCTCAAATTGGTTGATATACTAATGTGAACATATTAAGCTAGCACTTGACAACATTGCCTGGGTCAGTACATATCAGTTCACGTGGACCTCCCCAGTTCATGTAATGGATTTTCATGAAAAAATCATGGGACCTTACAAAATCTTATAGCTCTACTCCAAATACTTTTTTAGTTATGAACTTTTGAACTTTGTCCCTCTTTGCTAGATTTTCACTGGATGGGGTTGAAATTTGTACTGAACATCTCAGAAACCCAAAGGGATAATTTGCAACATGTATTCATGTAAAAAATTGTTTCTGGATGTTCTACAGTAATCAAACTAGCCTAATAAAACTTTTTCTTTAATTTTCAAAAAGTAATGACTCAACTTCTTCTCACTTTCTTGAAACCAAATTTTGATTCTGTGTAGTGCTAATATAGTTATGATATTTGTACTATGTTGACTTCAAGGTTTTCTATCTCTGTGTGACACCTATTGAGCATGATTTTCATTGGGACCAGGAAATTTGCAAGTTATAGCTTGTAATGGCTTGGTTTGTTGTATACTAGATGATGTCAACTTGTTCTGTGTGTCTGGACAAAGTGTTAATCTTAGTTCCTTAGCTCAATACACATATATTATTTGTAAGTATGTAATATATGATGTTTTTTTGCAGGACTAAATAGCTTCTAGATATGATCAAACTATACTTAATACTACACACAAGCAAAATTTGGAAAAGAAAGTGAAAACTAGTGGACATATTAATTTTTGAAAATTAAATATTGTTGTTCAGGTAAAAATGTATTCATTTTTATTTATTTGATTGCTGTCAAACATTCAGAAACAACTATTATGTGAAAAGTTTTTATATGATTTTCTTCTGACACAGGCAAAGTTCTGAATTCTGGGTGAGCTGGCATGGAATGACCCTATATTCAATGCTTTGACTTGGTTGGTGTGGGTCTAGTATGGTTAAAAAAATAATGTCTCTCTACCTCCAGTATGTTAGTAAGTAAGTAAATTATATTTAAATTTTTTTTTTTTTTTTAAGTAAATTGATCTTAGGCATTCACTAGTTAGGCTTATATTACATGCTAAAATTGAAAAAATTGTGCTGAAAGGACAAGTCAGTCAGATAGATTGTAGAGTAATTAATCTGCAGAAAACTAAAAACAAATCAGTTATTTATTCAGTGCAAAACATTTCTTGGTTGCAGCGTCTCAAATATGAGATTTTTCTTTTTGACTATTTTATATCTTTGTAAACTGAGTACAATTTAGAATAGTTTTAGACTGTTTGTTCACCTTGGGCTTAGAGAAACAGTAGAAATTATGGACTAAACAATCAGAAAACATAATCAACATATTAATTTGGAATGGAAATAATAATGTGCTTATTGTATTGTATTGTATTCTCTTCTGTTTTACACTGTACCATTTACAGAAAAAACAAAAAAAACCTAAAGCTCAATTCAAAAATAAGGACTGCCTAAGAAAGTGCTTTACAGTTATAGTTGTAGTTTGTTCACGTTTATAATATCTGATGCTGTAAAATGAAACAGTAGTTAATTTGTTGGTTCAGTTCACCATGTGCAAGTCAGTGTTGACCCTGAGTGAGTGTTGCACCCTTACTAAGGACTATACAAGACTGACATAAATATATATTTGGGCCATGCAAAGAACAGGCTAGAAAATACGGTCAGAAAAAAATTATATTTTAGACAACTGAAATATGTCATCATCTTTAACTACAGGAACAATGATCATATACTAAAGCATCGCAAAGCAGAATAAATGTATTTATGTAGCACATTTCATACCCAGAGCCAACCCAAAGAACTTCATAGAGTACACAGGCAGAAGCACAAAGCACAAAGAATAAAATCGGTAAAACACACAGGCAAATGCACAAAGAATAACACAAAAACAAGCAAACTAAAACACAGAGAATAAAAACAAGAAAAACATACAAGGAAATACATTTTAAAAAGACAAATAGGGCAGTTTGTAGAAGTAGGAAAACTCAAAGACAATAATAACAAGTGCAAGTTTGTGTGAAATCAGCTGTGTAGGTATTCTGTATTTAAAACAAAAACTGGAATGGTATTTATTTCTGCTTTATTGTTGATGCCATGTAGATGTACTATTCTGCCCGTTCCAAATAAAGATATAATTAAAAAAAAAAAAGTAGTCAGCACTGCCTCAAGTCTGAGCTCTTCTGGCAATTTGTTCCACATTTGTGCAGCAGAGAAGCTAAAGGCAGCTTCACCATGTTTAGTTTTGACTCGGAACAACCAGTAGTCCAAAACCAGTTTGATGGTGAGAACAGAGTCTTTCTTCATTTCTTCAAAAACTGTGACTTAAGTTTTGTCCTCATTTATTTGGAGAAAATCTTGGAACACCCAACTACTAATTTGTTTCATGCACTGTCCCAGGGAGTCTATTAAACTGTACTTGTTTGCTGACACAGCTATGTATATTTGTGTGTCATCTATTTATGTGTGATAAGAAACCTTAAAGTTTTCTATAATTTCTGATAATGGGAGCATGTAGTAGTAGTAGTGTAATTGTCAATGTGATATGAAATATGATATGTTTATTTTTTTTTAAGGATGATATGATACTCAATTTAGGAAAAATGGGTGCAATGACAAAATATATGCTGAGGCCACTTGTCTTCCTGGTGTAAGCATCTGTTCAGTTGTTGTTTTTGTTTTATAGATAGTATAATTGCACAGTTGCAGATACTCACCTTACTAGATGCTGGTGTGTCATTAACTGTGTGTGTGTGTGTGTGTGTATTTGCTTTGGCAATTTTAGGCCAGCATTTGAGAATATTGTATTCTCTTGAAGGCAGTGTTAAATGTTTATCATCATAGATGTAACATGATTGTGGTATCTTTCTACAGTAGATGTTGAAGGGTTGGCTCAATTAAAGGTAGGGCTTTTTTGTTTGGCCTAATCCCATTGTTGTTGTCTGGTTGGCCCACCGCCAGAGTTTCCACACTGTTTAGTATCTGTTAACCTGGCTGGACCTTGGCTGAGCCAGCAGTGTTTAATAGCTTGGCCAGACTGCCCAAATGCTGGTGGTATGTGACAGCAGAAAGATTTGCTCTGTCGTTAATGATTCTAAATACAGCATTTCCAGCATAATTAGAGCATATTTACAGTTGCTTCACTGCCATTTTACCTGACAGTCATTAGCCAAGGAGACCCAAGCTTTTCATAGTTGAACTACAGTTGTAAATGGCTTTATTAGGCAAGTAGGATCAAACTATAACTGCTACAACAACACAATGTCATTATAGATAACTTATGTATGTTATTGCACAAATCATTAAATTTCTCTACAGCTTCTCTGAAGGTCAAGATGTTTAGTGTGAAATTCATTTGTCTTTTTCTTGTCTTTAAGATAAACGAAACATCTTACCACTTTTCTCACACTTCTTTTTGCTTTCCTTTCTTAGTGTCAACGCGATCAATGGCCTCAAAAACACCAGTGGGGTTTATTGGCCTGGGAAACATGGGCAGTCCCATGGCCAGAAACTTGTTAAAAAACGGTTATCCTGTTATTGCCACTGATGTCTTCCCTGAGTCCTGCAAAGAGCTGCAGGACCTGGGTGCCCAGGTAATGCAGTAACACATTACATCTACACATTTAAACCCTTATTTAACAGGCCAAATCAGCTAAGAATACACTCAATATTGACGAGTATTAACAAACTGATGAATACACATACATCCTTCTCCCACTTATTCTTTGAAACTCACTGTACTTCTAAGAACAGTTGCTTGGTGAACAAACTACATGTTTCTGAGCTGACAGGTTGTTACAAGCGAGAGCTATAATTAAGGTGTTTCTTTTATGTTGATGATAATATGCACGTGCAATGATGACTCCAATTTTCAGGTAGTGGACTCCCCGTCAGAGGTGGCAGAGAAAGCAGACCGCATCATTACAATGCTGCCGTCAAGTCCCAATGTCATAGAGGTCTACACAGGCCCAAATGGCATCCTCAAGTGAGCAAACTTTACTATCACACTCTGTGACAGTTGTGACATTCATGCAACCCAACCCTAACTCTATAAAAATGTGTTTAATGTAGAAACAGAAAGGCTTGAATGGACAAATTTCCTTGTCTGTACTGTACATGAAGTGCTAATCCCTTTTGTTTTGCTTTCTTCAGAAAGGTGAAGAAGGGAACACTGTTGATTGACTCCTCCACCATTGACCCTGCAGTTTCAAAAGAGATGGCAGTCGCTGCAGAGAAGATGGGTGCTGTGTTCATGGACGCTCCAGTGTCAGGAGGTAATGTCTCACCTAAAGAATTAGTGAACAAGTGCGTCTTTGTGATTTGCTGTCTTACACCAATGTAGCCCATCTCTGCAAATTTGATTCTGCCTTAAACACTGTGTTAAACCTGTCCCAGCTTTTGATAATGGCAACTGTTAATTGGCAACTTGTCATAGTGCCTGACTCAACAAAAATGGAAGATGATGCTGCTAATGCAAGCCGTGTTTAAAGAGAGGATACTACATTTTTGTAAATGGTTTGTCAGGATTTCTTTCTCTCTCTAAGAGCATTGCAACTGATCAGGTTATTCAAAGGGAATGAGGAGACAGTGTCAAGAGCAGGATCAGACTGCTAGTTTGTTCATTTGAGAATACCATTCATGGTGTTAGGCCTATGACCCCCTCAGACTTGCTTCTGAACTGTCTTACACTCTTTTGTATATCTAAACTGTGGGACCTTTTGGGTTAGTGCTTGGACATGGGTTGTAATTACTGAGCAGGGCCAGCCAGTAGGTGCCCTTCGGAGATTTTTATTGCTGCTTTTGACCAGGGGTCTTAAAGGCAAGGTTAAGGTTTCAAGTCCTCATTATGTTGGTGCTGTCTGCTTGTGACGGCTCCTTGACAGAGCACAGGATCACCAGTCGTCCTTAATGGGCTGAGCCGCAGAGGAGAATCCCGTGTCAGAGCTTTTCATGTTGATGGAGCCGTAATGGCGGGTATCCCATGTTAGTGCCTTTCATGTCAGATAAAGAGTCATAAAGAGGAGAGAAACTGCCCTCACAGGGAGTGCAGGAGAGGAGAGCAGGGAGATAAGACATGAAGGAGACACACTGCAGTAAAACTGTCCATCTCTCTATCTCTGTCTTACTCTCTTTCTCTTTTACACACACACACACACACACACACACACACACACACACACACACACACACACACACGTATCTTTTGATACAGGCATGCAGTTATGGTATTCTACATCCTGATACTCCCGCGTATCAGACTGCTAACTCTGATCATAGTCTATTTACTTTTTATTGCACCGTCTTTTCATCCATGTACAACACACACTGTAGCTCCCTCCCTCTCCCATACAAACATAGACTTGGCCCACACGGACATGTTTACCAGCTGGCGTCAACAGAACAGACCGACTGCAGTCAGTGAGATCAGAGCCTTAAGCCTGTTACTCTCCCTTAACACACACACTGTTTACATACTAAAGACAGTGCACAGTTTGTGTGTGCAGTCCTCTGTGACGGTTCTTCCTCTCCTGTCTCTTAACTAAGCCTCTTTTACTAGCCTGAGATGACCAATGATTTACCTGCTACCTCTGGCCTCTGCAACTAGCTCTGCAGACACTCTTCTCTCTCTCTCTCTCACACACACACACACACACACGCACACATGCTGCATGCACCCACCCACTCATTGTCACCTCTGGGCATCCATAAGTCATATCCATAAGTGCATACAGCTAGTTTAGTGCAAAATAGTAGAAAATTAATTCAGATCAATTTTGAATTTCAGTTGTAATTCTGATAATCAGTTTAAGTCATTTATGATGCTAAAACATTCACAAGCACCAGTTTCTAAAATGTAAGCATTTTATATTATTGTAAATGGGAAATCGTTGAGGTTTGGACTTTTGTTTCTGTAGACATAAACTATAGCTTTGGGAACTTGTGATGGGCATTCTTCACCATGCTCTCAAATTTTATAGACAAAACAATTCATTAATTCATCTAAAAAAAAATCAACTGATTGATTAATGAGGTAGGTTGCCGACCTAAATTGCACACGCTGAAACATTCAGCCCCACTCCCCACACCCCATGGTGTGAACCTGATAAGCCAGGATGAATGTGGCAACTCAACGGGAAATAGCAGAGACTCGAATCCCTCACCCCACTTTCCACATGTCTGGGTAGGATATGAGGTTACATGCTGTGTTCCAACCAGGAGATGGCACCCTACCCAAGTTTGCGCGTGTGTGTGTGTGTTGTTTGTGTATGTGTGTGTGTGTGTGTGTGTGTGTGTGTGTGTGTGTGTGTGTGTGTGTGTGTGTGTGTGTGTGTGCAAGAGAGAAATGTATGGATCAGTGTCAGCTCAGCTCTATGACCACTAGTACTCTTAATACAATATAACATAAAGGTAAAATGGAAATACTTCAATATTGTCCCAGATGGATTCCAGAGACACAGTTATATGTGATTATATCCATGTTATATTTTAATAATGTAATTTAATATATCTTTTGGATACATTTTATTTAGTTGATTTAAGGAAAGACACAGTCCATTCAAAATGTATTTTGTTCATTTAGAATAACAACACTCAGTACAGACATACTGTGATCTCCTGTGCTCTCAAACTTTCGCAGACGCAGCCTATTCTTATGGTTTCTGTATTCGTCTTTATTTTTAATTTAGATTTTTTTTTTTATATAAAATGAATCCTTTCGTGTGTGTCTGTGTCTGTCTGTCTGTGTGTGTGTGTGTGGTGTGTGAGGTGGTGCATTTTACACAGAAATGTGTATTTGTATGTTGTGTGCGTCACTAGAGGTTTGGCAGCCACCCGTGGGATCTGAATTGCAGAGTCATAACCCTTCTTAAAAACAGCAATCAAAAAAAAAAAAAAAAACTTTCACTTTCTTCTCATGGGCATCCTGCTGGCTGTCTTTTTGCACATTGACCATTGTCTTGGCTTTAGCCCTGCATGACCCAGCTGTGTGGCACACACACACATACACACACACACACACACACACACACACACACACACACACACACACACACATCCACACAGGGTTGTAATCTTCATGCAAACACTTTCCTGAATAGACAGAGTTATATTAACTTGAGACACTGGCTCTTCAGGCATGCTAACATATGCTTGCACACACACACTTCTACCACTGTCTGGTGTCATTAAACGTGTCCGCATGCAAAGTTGACCCACAACAAAACAAGCTCTGATGTCACAGACCCAGGGTGTTGGCACAGTGATGGCAAAAATAGGAGGTCTGGCTAACAAGCGACGGGGTCGTTAGCAGTAATTACCCAGAATGCCTGTGTTTGTGTCTGTGTGCCCATGGTGGGCTGCCACATTGCTAACGGACGATGGCTTTAAAAAGGCCCTAAAAAACCTTTCATTGTGTTTTTCCCAGCGCTGGGAAAGTAGCTATTGGTTCAAATGAAAGCGAGAAGGAGCCTCGCTGTTGTGGAACCATGGGCACTCGGGCTAATGTTGCTTGTTTGCGAGGCCTTATAATCCTCAGCTAACTACCTATTTAGGCTGAGTCTCAACACCACTCTAATCATATCCATACCACATCAACTGAAGCCTGAGTGTTGCAGTGTGTCATTTGCTGACAGTTTGAACGTCATCCTCCAGCCTGCAGGAGCTTGTTCGAGCCAACGCTGGCACAGTTTGTTCGTCAATCAACACTGCCAGTCTGCTCCTCTCCTGACTGATCTAGGCTCTGTTTTTCCCTCCAGGCCTACAGGACCTGCAGCTCCTTCCACAAAGATCATCTCTGACTTTAGCTTTCACTCTGGTTCAAACAGCAGAACGGAGATAAATGCAAATAATTGTTATTCAGTTTTTAAAGAACTTTCAACCGTATTACATGGTCTTCATCATCAGATTTTTTTTGTATACTCACTATTTAAAGGACAGGAATCAACTTTCATGTTTAACTTTGAAGCCGACAAACAAAAAGTCTAAAAGTGCAATAAAATCCGAACAGTTACTGAGCTTGCATATCAGCCACGGCCATTGCAATGACAACTGAGCAAACTCCATCTGCTGATTAAGACTTTGCAATACAGTTGAAAGCTCCGTAAAAAGCTCATCATTATGGGATTGTCAAACTTTGTAATTCTTGACAGTGTTAAGGAGAACTAACTGAAGTGGAAGAACTGTTGAAATGGACATTGGATTTGGAGAATTCATTTATTGTGGCAGCAGCTGAATTCACAGTATTCCTGAGGGCTTATTGTGTTCCCTAAAGAGTCACTTTGCTTCTGTCACAAACTTAAATTAGCCCCTTACCCACTTACTGTTCTCAGCATAATAAATACTCAGCTGTTTAGAGCTGAAACGATTAGTCCACTAATAAATTAATGGATTGACAGAAAATTAGCAAGCAACCATTTTCCTGATTTTCTTGTTGTGTTGTATGATAATAAACTTAGCATTTATGTGTTAGGCAAAAAAATACATGTGAAGATGTCACCTTGGGCTTTATGAAGTCATGATGAGCTTTTTTTTTTAATTACATTTTATAGACCAAATGATGAATCATTTAATTGACAAAATAATTTCCTGATTAATTGGTAATGAAAATATTTATTATTTGCAGCCCTAGAACCATTTACAGTCAAGCAGTAAATTGAGATTTTGAACACGCATCATTTTATACCATCTTTAATTTCTACATCAGTCAAAGGCAAAGTATTACACTGTTGTATTTTTAGCACAAAGCAGTATACATGTTTTGGATAGTACGTTTTTCATTGCATTTTGGGAATTTATTACAGTGCATAAAGTTCAAACCTAAATAATATGGCAGAAAATACATTTGGTGATCTAGGCAGCAGATTTGGAGTGACACATTGTGGACACATTTTAAGACTAACGTGTTTTTGTGAAACCTGCCCTGGTACGTGTGGTCAGAGGAAGGAGCAGGAGAGCACCCAGGCCAACCTAATCCAGTCTGAGAATGGGATTAATTGACAAGATGAGTGGGGGAGCCTGAGGGCAGTTTAGTGAAGGTTAGTGATAATTCTGTGACACTGAGTTAAGGAATCAGCTTGGATGGGCAGGGGGTGGTGCTGTCGCAGTCTGTCATGTTGATGGCTAACCAGCACCAGAGCGCGTCAGTGGTCCAAAGACTAGATTAGCATAACAAGGCTTTCACTGACGGGTTTTGGTGACACAGAGGGAGAATGTGTGCGTGTGTGCGGGGGGCCAGTGGGAGGATGTAAGTGACCAGGGATGGTGGTGATGGGGGGAC